CTTCGAGAACGAAGGACAAACAACAACAACAAACAACAACTGCTATGGACTTCTCCATTATGCTCCAGAAACCTCCTCATTCTGGAAGTTGACTTCAACCCTGGAGCTCACACCTTGGAAATATTGCCCCTGGGGCTCCTCCTTCTAATTTGAGAGTAGCAGGCTTTCCCCCAGAACCTCCATTTAAAGAGGGCACCCTAGCCAGCCATTTCTTCATTTCTCACCTGCCTTCACTCTTTCTGAACTTCACCATCATGCCCAATCCCGTGGTACCTTCTTTCTTTCCTTCCCCACTCCAGCTTTCTTTTATGTGTTGTCTTCCCCATTAGAATGTAAGCTCCTTAAGATTGAGGGCAGGGACTGTCTTTTTACTTGTATTTTGTATTCCCTGTGTTTAGCACAGTGGCTGGCATAGTAAGTGCTTAATAAATACCTGTTGGTTAACTAACCTAAATAATTGGAAAAATATTTGCTCATGGATAGCATGAATCAATATAATAAAAATTACAATACTACCTAAATTAATTAATTTATTTAATGGGATACCAATCAAACTACCAAAAGATTACAAAACAGGGAAAAATAATAACAAAATTCATATGGAGGTTACAAAAAAGGTCAAGAATCTCAAAAGAAATCATTTTTAAGAGTCATGACGGAAAATGCTATCCACATCCAGAAAAAGAACTATGGAGTCTGAATGCAGATCGAAGCATATTATTTTCTCTCTCTCTCTCTCTCTTCCTCTTTTTGTGGTTTTCCCCTTTTGTTCTGATTCTTCTTTCACAACACGACTACCGTGGAAATATGTTTAATATGATTGTACATGTATTGCCTATATCAGATTGCATGCTGTCTTGGGGAGGGGGGAAAGGAGGGAAGGGAAAAATTTAGAACTCAAATATAAAAGTGAATGTTGAAAACTAAAAATAAATAATTTCTTTTTTAAAAGAAAGAAGTAATTTTTAAAAAGTGGAAATAAAAAGGACTTGCCTATGTTGTTTTAGGGCATGAGTTCTTAACCTTCCTGTGAACTTGTTTTTAAAAATATATTTTTATCAGTAAACTCTTATTGAGTGCCTACCACAAGCCAGAAACTGTGGTAAGTACTGAGCTAAAAACAGCAACAACAACAAAAACAAACTAAAGGCAAAAGACAGTCCCTGCTCTCAAGGAGCTCACAGTCTAATAGGAGAGACAGCATGCAGACAACTATGTACAAAGAAACTGTATGCAGTGTAAACTGGCAATAGTCAACAGAGAGAAGGCACTACAATTTAGGGGCACTAGAAAAGGTTTCCCAATGGATGGTTGGGTTTTAGCTGGGAATTGAGGGAAAGGCAGAAGTGAGGCAGGAGGGCATTCCAGGTATTGGCGGGTAGACTGTGAAAATGCTCAGAGTTGAGAGAGGGAGTGTCTCATTTGAGGAACAGAAAGGAAATCAGTGTCACTGGATTATAGAGTAAGTGATGTAAGGTGTTAAAATGAGAAAGGTGGAAGGAGAGGAGAGGTTGTGAAGGGCTTTACACATCAAATAGAAGATTCTACATTTGATCTTGGAGGTGATAGCAAACCATTGGATTTTATTGATATACGGTCAGATCAAGGTCAGTCAGATCTTCTTTAGGAAGATTACTGATTAGAGTGGCATTAGACATGAGGCAAGCAGCCCACCAGCAGATGGACTATTGCAATAATCCAGGCTTGAGGAGATAGGAATTTGCAACAGGGTGATGTTAGTGTTTGAGAAAAGAAGGAATATGTTAGAAATGTTAGGAAGTCAGCAATCCTTGGCAACAGAATGGATATGGAGAGGTGAGAGAGAAAGTGAGGAGTTGAGGATGACCCCTGGGTTTTGAGCCTGGGTGACTGGGAGATGGTGGTACTCTCAATAGTAATAGGGAAGTTGGGTAGAGGGGAGGTTCTGGGGGTGGGGGGGGGAATATATGAGTTCAGTTTGGGGAGTTGAGATCAAGATGTCTAAGGGAGGTCCAGTTCTAGTTGTTCAATAGTCAGTTGGAGATGCAGAGACTGGTGATCACTGGAGAGGTTAGGGATGGAAAAGGAGGTTTGAAAATCATTAGCATGGACATGATAATTGAATTTAATGGGACCAGATGAGATTACCAAGCAAAATAATCTGGGGGGAATACAGTTTCAAAAGTGAGAGAGAAGAAGGTCAAAGATGGTCAGTGGCAAGTGTAGAATGGTCAGAAAGGATGAGGATTGAAAAAATGCCATTAGATTTGGCAATTAAAGATAGTTTAGTAACTTTTAAAGTAATAGATATTATATATTTTAACAATAATATAACATGTTATCTGACATCTCTTAAGTATAATTGGTTTCCTTTGTAATACTAAGTATTACATAATACTAAGTATTGTGCATTTTAAAAATTTATTTCTGAGGAATTTGTAGGCTTCACTGGCCTGCTACAGAGGGCTCTAGACAAAGAAGATTTGGGCCACTGGCCTTGGGGTGTTCAGTTTCAAATGAATCATTTTCCCCAGCCAAATTCCTTTGGGGTTCTTAAGTTGAGGAGGGACTGTATGAATGCATATAAAGGTATGAATGCAGCCTATGCTTCGAAGGCAAGTACATTGTCTTGCTGACCTCTTTATATTCAATTAAGGTATTTCAATCCCTTTCCCTTTCCAGAGTGGATTATTATAGCTCTGTAAGTGTTTTCCATGCCCCTTTCCATTTCAATGTTTCTTTTAGCTGTTGCTTACTTTCCACTTTTGCAGTAGCCTCACTGGGTCACCCAAGCTTACACATATATAAATAGAAACATGCAAATAATATGCCTACATCTGGGAGAGGTTCCTACTGCAGCCACACCTTGGCTTTTGTGGTTATTCCAGACCTTTGGCAAAGTGAAATACCTCTTCCTCCTAGAATCCATACTATGATTTTAAATCCAGTCATATCAGTATCATGAAGTCGTTTCAAACCCAGCTGTAGTAGGCAACATTTGGGTTACATACTGTTCTGGTAGTAAGCTATTGATCTGAAGAAGGTAAGAATGGAAAGAAGCACTGACTGGATCAGTTGAAAACAGATATAAAGGGCTATGTAGCTAAGTAGAGGACCTGAGTTTAAATCCTGGTTCTGCTGCTTACTACCTGAGTGACTCTGGGCAAATTACTTAAACTTTCTGGGTATCAGCTTCCACATTCCACATGTAAAATGAAGATTAAATGACACGTGTAAATCATGCGATAGATACTGTGATACCTCAAGCATCTGAAGGGCTTTCATACAAAGCCAGGGAACAGACTTTGTTCTGCTTGGCCTCAAGAGGCAATAGAGAGGAATTTTAAAAGGGGCAGATTGATATAAGGAAAACCTTCCTAACAATTAGATATATTCCAAAGTGGAATGGGCCTTTGCGGAGGCTTTCAAGCAAAGAAGGAATGATCACTTGTCCTATATCCTGTTAAGGAGATTTGCCCCGGTGGAAATGTCCTGAATTGTCACAAATCTGTTGGATTCTGTTGTGTGCAGGAATGGAGATCTTGCTCTCCTGCCATGAATAGGTTCATACTGTTAGAACCACCAGCTTATCCGTAATTTGGACGTCACCAAGAATTGCACAACCCTGCTGCCCCCTCAAAAACAAAAGGAAACAAACAAGAAAACAAACTCCAAGCAACCCCCAAACACAGATGCTTACAAACTACGCCCTTTTAGGTTCATCACTTTCTCCAGCAAGCATTTTATGGATTGCTTTTTGTATGAAAATCAGAGAATGAAACCTAAGGCATTCGTAAGCCAGCTTCGATTGATCTGTTCACTCATTTATGGATCTATTTTTATCTTCAACTCTTCCTAAAGGGAACAAAGTCTCAACCTAGTAATTGTTTTCCTTGTTTCTCCCTTACCCAAGCATATGTTTGTCATAGGTTGAAGTCCACAGGTTCATTAACCTGGGAGGATGGTGGGGGGGTAGTGGTACAAAGGAAGGGTAATTAGCTCATATTTATCGTGTTCTTTCATTCTTTGCAAACTTTTTAAAAAATTAAGTATTGGGTATTAAGTCTCCATTGTTTTTCCAGAGTGTTTTCAACACGGATTATCTCATCTGACGTTCACTATAATTCAGAGCTACTAGACCCAAGGGGTGGGTAGAGAAGAATCATTAGCTCCATTTCACAGAGGAAGAAACTGACGCCGCCGTGCCCTGGCCCGCGGCCTCTCTGGGCATCGGAGGCGTTCTCCAGCCCCTCCTGCTCGATCCGCGCCCTTCTCACGCCGGGGGTGGCGGCGGTGGTGTGTCCATGGAAACGGAGGTGGACTCTCCTCCCCCTTAGCCCGCGGTCCCACGAAAGTTCGCTCCGACTTTTCTCGCCCTCTCAGGAACTAGTGGGCCGCCCCTCCAGCTGCATAAACCCGGCCCCCCTCTCGGAGAGGAAAGGAAAGGGGAATCCGGATACGAACCCCAGCGCTCCCGACTCCGAAACGAACAATCCAGCCCCTTTTTTCACGTCAGACTGGTACGCAGTCGGTCAAATGGGGGGGAGCAAGTGGAGGTGAGGGGAGGAGCCTGCGCTGATTGGCCCTCTCTCCTTCGTCCCGCCCCATCCTCCGGTTCTCGGCCCTCCCCTTCGCCTGTGCGTGCCGGCCGCCCGGCACCCCTACCCCCCCCCCCCGGGTGGCCAGAGTCCTAGTTTAAGTGCACAGGCGCCGGCCGGGGCGAGCGCGAGGAGGGAGGGAGGGGCTGGAACCGCCTTTCTCCTCCCCGCCGCTTCCCATCCTTAAAGTGGGAGTACGGGCGCTGGGCCGCCGCAGATCGCTCGGAAGGGCGGGCGGTGCGGAGGTGGCGAGCTTGAGCTCCTGCGGGCGGAGCGCGGCCCGGGCTGGCGGCGGGGCTCCGACTCCCGAGGCGCCATTGCTTTGGTGCGGAGCGCTGGCCCTGTCCCCGGGAGGAGCCGTCCTTCGGGGGTTGCCTTCAGTGCCCGGCCCCGAGCCGCGAAGGCTGCTGTCTGTCCGGCGCCGCTGACCGTGCCGCTTCCCGTCCCTCCTGGCCGCCCGTCCGTGCGGCCGCCCCGGGGCCGAGACCATGTTCGACAAGACCCGCTTGCCGTTCGTGGCCCTGGACATGGTCTGCTTGTTCCTGGGTATGTATGATCCGGCGCCAGCCCGCCTGCTGTGCCTTGCTCTGCCCCATCTGTGCTGCTGCGGCTCAGCAACGCTTGTCCTGTGGCCGGGGGAGCGTGTGTGCGTGTGCGTGTATGTGTATGTGTATGTATATATATGTGTGTGTGTGTGCACGCGCTCTCGTGCATCCGGATGGGCATGTGTGTGTGTATGTATGTATGTATGTATATATGGTGTGTGTATATATTAGGAAGTGTGAAGTAGGAACTCCTGTGTTGGGGAGCGTGCAAATAAATTGCATGCATTTTAGGATGAGGGTGCCTGTGTGCGCGTGTCTATGTACGCCTGCTTTCGTGCTTCGGAATGGGCGTGTGTGTATGTGTATTAGGAGGTGTTAAGTATGAATTCATGTTGGGGAATGTGTAAATGGATTGAATGTCTTTTAGGATGCGGATGCGTGTGTGTGCCCCTCTGTGTGCACGCGTACATTCGTGCCTCGGGATGGGCGTGAATGTATTGGGAGGTGTTAAGTATAAACTCTTGTGTTGGGGAGTGTGTAAATGGATTGCATACATTTTGGGATTCGGGTGCGTGTGTGTGTGAATATGCACTCGCTCTCGTGTATTGGTGTGGACATTTGTGTTGGAGAACGTGTAAATATATTGCATGCGTTTCAGGATGCGGGTGCATGGGTACGTGTACGCGCGCGCGCCCTCGTGCATCGCGGTGAGAGGGTGTGTGTATGGGCAATGGACGTTTGTGTTGGGGAGTGTGTTAAATGTTTTGCATGCATTTTAGGATGCGCTTGTGGGTGCTTGTGTAGGCTCCTTCGTGGATCGGGATGTGTGGATCGGCATGTGTGCATCGGGAGATGTTAAGTATGAACTCTTGTATTGGGGAGTGTGTATATGTGTTGCATGCATTTTAGAATGTGGGTAACATGGGCATACTTGTGTGTCTAAGTAACTCACAGCTTCTCTACGCAGCTTCTGTATGTATGGGACTGTCCCTGCTTCTGTGCTTGTAAATACCTTCTGCCCTGGATCCCTGGCTCTGGCTCTTCCTCTGCAGTCTGTGCTCTCATCTCAACCATCCTTCTACCTCCCTCTCCCACCCAAGGTGGGGATGTGGCTGCAACCACTTTGGCACTAATCAATCACCTTATTTTACCTCTCCCTCCCATTTCCTCTTGTCCACTCTTCCTACTCCTCTTAAACAAGGCAGAATGATCAATCATTCAGAGGGCTCACCCCTCCTTTTTTTGCTGTAGAAAACTGGTCACTGGCTAATCAGATTCAGTCGACAAAAACAGTGGAGAGTTAATGCTCTGGGAACTTCCAAGTAACAAACAGAAGGGCCTGATTCATCTCATTTCTGGAAAGAATTTCCTCTCTTAGACATTGTTTCTGAAAGTATAGAATTTTCTGAACTGAGTTATGTGGTCAGGGTGTAGTTTCCAGGCTCCAAGTGTGAGTGAGGGACAGAGGTGGTGGTTGGTTCCTATGTGCCCCAGACCTGCTGTCTCCTCTTTGCAGATCCGGGCATGGGGTAGCTTTCCATCTCTTTTCTGACAGCTCACAAGGAGCTGTATAAATTCTTTGGCTGGGCGTTGTGCCTTCCTGATGGAAGTGTTATGTTCTCCTGGAGGTTGCCTGCTCTTTCTCTTTGTTGATCTGTCAGAGCTAAAATTAGCTGGATTGGGGATATGGGAAGGTGTTGAGTGGGTGGCATAAAACTTTTTAAGTGTTGTAGTGAGGAATTTTTAATAAACACAAAACATCTGGAATAAAGCAGTTGTGTTGTGAACTCTGTAGCTGGAAAAAGCAAACCTTGTTTGAGGCTTTTGGGTGTGTATGGATGGATGGATGGATGGCATTCTTAAGGGTTATAAAAGTAGTGCTAATGACTTAAGGTTGGAAGGAGAATTAGTTCTCCAGCTGGGACTCAAGTAGATAGGTTGTGCAGCATTCCTGGCTCCTCACTGGGCAAGACACTTAAAATGGAATATTTTGACTCGAAGCAATGTAGGGAGATGAGAAAGACAATTAAGATGTGGTCCACGACTCCATGATGTTTTTAATTAAAATCTAAAGATTTGCTATCTGAGATTTCAGATGCAGGATGTTAAACAGTTCTCAAAAACAAAATTGTGTTGGAGATGGCTTTCTCTTCATCAATTTATGAGCAGGATGATTAAGCATGTTTTTAGAAAAATATCATTTTTCCACTTAGAAGATATGCTGCTTACTGGGTTTTTGCATGCCCTTGTTTCCAAAATTGTTTATATGTACCATTTAAAGTAATTTGGAGTATTTCTGAGGAAAGGGCAGGTAAATGAACACTGTATATTGTTTTACTGTGGCTAAAGATAAAATTATTTTTCATTCCCAGAGAATAAACCAGCTGATAGCAGGAGACTGGAACCCCAGAATCATGTTGGGTATAGGAGAAGCTGTCTTGAGATTAAAAACTGCCCTATGTGTAGTACACAAAGGCGGAATGGAAAATTGTATTTAAAAAACCAAAAAAAAAAAAAAAACCAAAAAAAAAACCCAAAACAAACCTCCCTGTCTTTAAGTGCAGGATGATCTCTGAATTGTTTCTTATGATGATAAAACTTTCCCCCAGCTCCTTTAAGTGACTAACAAAGATCACATGGTATTTGTTCTAATGTGAATCTTTGTTCTTTAAATCTGAAGGATAAGGATCATGACTTTGCATATCCTTCATAATGTTGCTTCGCATATAGTCGGCGCTTAAAAATCTTTTAGATTCAAGTTGAATATAGTACTCTTGTTCTGAATTTTACTGGACGGCTAAGCTTGTTGAAGGAAGATGTGATCATTGTGTATGACATTGTTAGGTGGGGTTTTCCATTCCTAAATCCCAAGTATATTAACTGCTATATAGTGGGATTTTCTATGATGGTCCTGCTGCAGTTAACTTGCTATCCTCTGGGACGTGATAGATACTTGGGAGACAATGATAAATTTTAAGATTGTTGTGTTGAATTCCTTGTTCCATGAAAATATGACTTTTGTCTTTTTCTTTCCTTCCTACTCATTGGTGACTGTGCATAATGCCATATAAACATTGAAGAGCCTCCAATCTCTTAAACTATGTACTAGAAAATCAGCCTGTTGGAAAGTAAACAATTTGCTCATCTTGAATCAAAGGCATGATATATGTCTAATGTTTAAATTGTGCACTATTTAACATTGAATAGCATTTTGTCTGAAGGAGCAACATTGAATAATTCTAAATTCTTTCAACTCTGCCCTGTCACAGGTAAATGGGCTTTTAAAAAATGATCTCAAATGGAATAGGAAAGTAGTAGAGAAGGTATTTTCCTGTTTTTTTTTTAAAGCATCTTGTTCTGACAGAATTTTACCTCATATTGTAGGTGTGAGACAGTGAGGATTGGAAATAAGGATAACTATTGCAGGAACCTGTTGTCTCAGAGCACATACAGGAGTATATCCTTTAAAAAAAATAGGCATTGATGACTAGCAGAGTCAGGAAAACAATAAAAATTTCCTTTACATTTGCTTTTGGTCCTATTTGTTGTAGTTGCCCATTAGCCTGACTTAGCAATGGACCAAGGGAAAGTCTTTTAGGTTTTCATGACCTTGTATTAGTGTTAGAACTCTAGAACATGGGAATATTTGAATATCGGTCATATTTTGAATATATCATAGACTTGGATCTGGAAGGATGCCTTAGATGTCACTTAGTGTAGAACCCTCATTTTATAGTTGAAGAAATTGAGTTACAGAGTTCAAATGACTTGCCCAAGGTAACATGGGTCTTAAATAGCAGATCTCTAATTGGGGTTGTGTGACCCTAAACTCTTTGCATTATACGGTGTCTAAATATCACTGAATTTAAATGCATCCTCACATCTTATAGATGAGGAAACTGAGGGCTTGGGTCGTTGACACTTATACAAGATCACCCAGGTAGTTAAAAAAAAAAAAAAAAGGAAATTTGTAGTTAAGAGGAAAGATGCTAATTATTATTTCAAAACTTTTTGCTAACAGGAAAAATTTTATGAAGTTTCTCAAAGAAAAACAGTGGTTATTTTTCACTCAGGAGCTCTAAGGAATAGATAGATGTGAAAGTTCAGCCTGGAGGCGTTAGGCCTTGTGGATCTGGGACAGCTTCAGGGCACCAGATAGCATCTTTTTGAAGCAAGTTCAGGGGACGTTTGCATTCTACTCTAGTACTTTCAGCATTTCACTAGTCTTCACATTTTCCTGATCTCTAATCCCCCAAACTAAGGTTAGAGCTTCTGAGAACCTTTCTGGACATTGAGTTTGCTTGTCTCCTCATTTCAGAGATCTGTTATACTCAAATGGCTAATCTCCTTTTTTCTGTATCTTCTGCCAGAGATATAGTTACTGGACTTTTAGTTATGGTGTCTGTTCCCTCTTTTCTTTGTACTCCATACTGCAGACCATAAATGTCTCTTGGAGTTTATTTGTAAGGGGGAAAATATACACACACACACACACACACACACACACACACACAGAGGTATATATATATACACACATACAGATAGATATATAGATATATATACAGATATCTATATATAGATATATATATGTATCAGGAAGCAATGCTAATACTTTCATTTCTGGCATGGATTATATATTTATGGCATTTCCAAAAGTCAGATAGTATCTTACTGATAGCTCATCAAAAGTAATACTATCTTTCCCATTAACAGTTTTTTTTTTTTTTTTTTTTTGAGCATGAACAAACATTGTCAAATAGGTTAAGCATGTAAGGAATGCCATGGTGCACCCAACTGATGGTTCTAGTCCCCAAGTTTTGTTTTTGTTTTTGTTTTTATTAATCTGAACCTGTAATTTTTTGATGCAGGGAACTCCTACTGAGGAGACTGTACCAATACATTTTGGCAACTGTTCGGCAACTTAGTATCTTCATTTCCTGAGGCATTGAGCGTATCTGCTCAGCGATTTGTACAGGGTCATGCAGTTAGTTTGTGTCAGTG